GCGAACCATATTAATAAGAACGGCACGGCGAGCCTATGTACAGGGTGTTTTCTGCGACCGAGGCAACGCGTGCGTGCCTTTCCGGACACTCAAACGACTTCAAACGGGTTTTGTGGAGGGATGCAGCAAATTTGACTGATCGGATCAGTGCGGATTTTGTGCAATTTTTGAAAGATTTTGGTGTTATTTGACGCAGAGGAGAGTTTTTTGAAATGGTTGTATTTTGTGCCATTTTTTGAGATGTTTGACTGTGTTTGACTGTGTTTGAAGTGTGTTTAATGGTTGTTGGTGATCGTCCAGCGTTGGAGTATTGGTAATAGAAATGTCTTCAATTTGTGCAACTGTTTGAGATGTTTAACTGTGTTTGAAGTGTATTTTCTGGTTGTTGGCTGTTATTCAGTGTTGGAATATTGGCATAACCTTGACGTAGTATGCCTTGTAGAAATATTTTCAATTTGTGCAATTGTTTGAGATGTTTGACTGTGTTTGAAGTGTGTCTACTGGTTGATATAAGTCCATGACCATTCAGTGTAAAAGTATTTAATAACAGAAGGACAGAGTATGGTTTGTAAAAATGTCTTTGTTTTGTGCAACTGTTTAAAATGTTTGACTATGTTTGACTGTGTTTGAAGTGTGTCTACTGGTTGATAGAAATCGGTGGTCATTCAGTGTAAGAATATTAGTAACAGAAGGACACAGTATGCTTTGTAAAAATGTCATCGTTTTGTGCATCTGTTTCAGACGTTTGACAGTGTTTGACTATGTTCGAATTATGTCTATTGACTGATGTTTGTAAATAGCTCCAAATATAGCAGTTATAAAAAGGGATAGAATGATTTGTGGGAATGCCTTTGCAATGTTTCAACATGTTTGACCATGTTTAAAACGTTTATAATGTTTGGCATACATTGGTAGCGATGAACTCTAGGAATGATACTAACTAAATAAAGGTAGAAGGGTACTTAAAAATACCTTTCTAATGTGCACGTAATTCTCATTTTGTTTTTAAATGTTTGACCCTGTTTGAAATGTTTATATTGATTGACACATACTGGTTGTAATAAAATATACTAGCAATAAAAATTAATAGAATGACTTTTAGAAATGCCTTCATAATAAAGACGTTACATATAAAAACAGCTCTTTAATATGTTTGACTATGTCTGAAGCCTATCCATAAATTGTTGTATACTGCTGGAAATAAACTGTTCCACTAATACTAACAGAAATAGATAAATGAATACGTATCACTGTCGTTAGCTACGCGATATGCAAATGGGATGCTCTCGTTTAGGCTGTTTGATCATGTTTAAAGTGTCCCTATTGACTGTCATATATTGCTGTCACCAAACGCGTTCGTCTACACGATAAATTTTCAAAAATATCAACAAGTTCTACACACAGACCACCGCAGTTGCCGCTATTTGTCCATGTTTGAAGCGGTTTGATCAACGAAACAACGGCCTACATTCAAAAACAACAATCAATTTCGTTCCAGAGCCTGCGAAAAATCATCGATTCACTGACCTCGAGTCGCGTCTCCAGCAACTGGCCCAGAAATAACGGCCCCGCATAAAAACCAAATTACCCATGCACGCCCGAACAAAATGGCGTGCGGCCCACCCCACAAACTGTCGGAACAAATAGGAACGCAAAGGCGCCGGCACAACGGTGCTGGCCCGGCGGGCCTAAAGAAACCAGGCCCGCGTGTCCCGAGAAAAAGGTAATGCTGCTTTAAATACACAAATCCGAGCGGTGGGGGGAGCATGTCCTTAAATGGGTGTACGTCCGGGGCCCCATGCATCAGGCCCGCAGTTACGCGACATCGGAATTTTTCAGTTTTATCGAATTATCTAGGTATTAGAGCTAATGATAGCGATCCAGGCGATCCTTCAGTGAGGGACTGGGAGGGGGGGGGGGGCGTAGTGAGGGAAGCAGTGCGACGTCTTTTGCCGCGACTGGATGCCGCCGGTCGCCATCGTCGTCGGACATATATTTCTCGGTTACACGTGTTGTATAAAGATATATACGTCCGCGCACACGAACGCACGGGGCCTTATATCGCTGCGGCGGCGGCGGCGGCGGCGGCACCTCGGCGTCGTCACAAATTGCTCGGCGGGCTTTTTCCGCAGCGATCAGGCGGATCGCGTTCCAACAGCTCCTAAACACGCCGGCGCGAGGAAGAAGGGCCGCGCGACCGTTTCTTGCCCTCCCCCCTCCCTCCGCCGCGGCGGGGCCGGCTCGCTCGAGGGGCGGCCTATCCCTCGTTGTCCGTCAGTTTCGTCGGTTTTCTTTGAATCCGCTAAGCCCGCCGGACGCTCCCGTGTATTTAAACGAGCCCGGCTCGAATAATCGTCGGATTTTTCAAGGATTTTTGCGTCTCCCCGGATTCACTTGTTCTTGCAAGCGACCGCGCCGCGCCGCTCGGCTCGGCTCACTTTTAATTTATTACGGCCTTCCCGTCTCACCGTCGACGGTTTTCTGCCGTCCCTATGCGATTCGTCGTCCACCTGTGCGCGCCCCGGGCCCCGATCGGGCCCGCGGCGCACCGGCCCCGCATCCTTCCGCGATGATTGATTTACGGCGGCTATCGTTTATTTTCCGCTCCTCTCCGCCACCAGCCGCATTGTTGCACCGGCCGCGAGATGCTCCTACAAATTGTCCTTGTTGCGGCCGCGGCGGCGGCTACGGGGCCTTAACGTTGCCACGCCGGCTTTATGCTGGACGAGGCTGATATCGCTTCATTCGCGCACGACGGTCCCCGGTTTTTATTCCTTCGTGTGGTCTCTGAGTGTACGGCGCGGCACTAATTGGTGCTTGCGAGGCATTTGGCTGGCGAAGTGGGGCAATTTTTTTGTTTATTTCGAGAGCCGAGGTTCTAGAAACGTGTACGGCGGTAATTTGTTGGCTAAATAGGGGAAAGGACGTGCAACTATGGCTTGTTACTTAGACGACTGAGCTGACCTACGGCTGGGCTATTTCAGACCTAGTTACTTAATTAGTTATTTATTTAGTTAGTTATTTAGTTAGTTATTTAGTTAGTTTGTTAGTTAGTTTGTTAGTCAGTTAGTCGGTTAGTCGGTCAGCCAGTTAGACAGTTAATAAATTGGTCAGTTAGTCAGTTACTCAGGGAGTCAGTGAGTTAGTCAGTTAGTCAGTTAGTTACCTAGTTAGTCAGTCAGTCAGTTAGTCGGTAAGTCAGTCAGTCAGCAAGTCCGTCAGTTAGTCAATTAGTCAGTTACTCAGTTAGCCAGTCAGTTAGTCAGTCAGTCAATTAGTTACTTAGTTCGTCAGTCAGTCAGTCAGTAAGTTAGTCAATCAGTTAGTCAATCAGTCAGTTAGTTACTTAGTTCGTCAGTCAGTAAGTTAGTCAATTACTCAATCAGTTAGTCAGTTAGTCAGTCAGTCAGTAAGTTAGTCAGTGAGTCAGTCAATCAGTGAGTCAGTTAGTTACTTAATTTCTTTACACCTCCGCTATCCCAGATCTAAACGAACCCAAACCAAACATTTTTATTTTGCATAACAATGCTCGCTCCTCAGCCATATGTTAATATATATAGACTAGTACCACACCACACTCCCCTCTCAACTCCTTATCGGCATCCTGGGCCCGGTGTTTATATCTAGGACCCCCTCCAGCGCCCCCCTTAGCGGATCAGGTTACCACTTGTCACTCCTCTGAAGCCTAACGAACACTTCGAACCTTCTCGTTAACACGTCAGCCCCCTGGGGCTGACAGTGGACTTTCCATTTAGTCGGCGTCAGTCCCCTGGGACTGACAGTGAACTTTTCGTTCGAACAGTAACGGAGCATGGGACCGACAAAGTATCAAAGTTAAAAAATGAATGGTTAAAAATAACCCAGAAAAATCGGCTGAGCGCTCAACGTGTTAACACGTGGAGCGCAGCGTCAGTCCCCTGGGGCCTGCTCACACTTCCTCCATGAAAAAATTCATGCCGACTCTGAACACCTGCGCGAACCCACCCACGAAACATCGCCGCTAAATGATCCCCCACTTCCCGGCAAAAAATCCCAAATTTGCGTCAGAAATAGACTGTGGGCCCAGATTGACCTTGGGCCATCCTAATCGGCGAATATCGGAGGGGCAGGCTGGACGACGCCGCGTATAGGTCGCCTGCTCGAGAACAAACGTATCTCCTCTACCGAAATTGTCCATTTTCGTGCACGATCCGAGCGTGAATTAGGGAGAATAATTTACTGTAATTAAGATCGCCGAGGACAGCTACCGCCAGCGAGTCCCGCGAGGCCTCCGTGCACCGTACGATGGAAGTTCGGTCGTCGACGATGGATCGGGTCCGCGGAAAGTGGTTTTCCCAGCAGGGAGATAAGGCCGCGGCCGCTTGGCGGGTCCGGGGCGCGGAGGGCGTTGACTAACGAACGTTGACGGCGCGTTAACTAACGCGTGCATCGGGCGTTTACAGCCAGGCCCGCCGGTGGACGGCTCGTTTTATCGGTCTAATACACCGGGCCGCGTACTTAGCGGCACCGTTGCGTACCATTAATCGACGATAAGCCCCGGAACCGCGCGGCAATAAAGTGGCCAAAGTTACAGCACCGCCGGCCGCGTACGTGGTACGGCTGAGCCGGGGCAACAAGCCGCGGCGCGGGACGACAAAAAGCCTATCATTATTAACGCGTTAGCATAAATCCCCGCCCGGCCCGGCCGGGTTCCCCCGCGAAGGTGGCAAAAACGATTGTCCACGAGCGTAAGTGCCTTCGGGTTGACAATGACCGTCGCCGTGGTAGCCGTAAAGGCTCGTTGAACACGACGACGTGCCACCGCGGAAACCACGGAGTTACGGCCGCCCGGAGGTAGTGCTTCGCGTATCGGTGAACGGACTTACGATACGTCCCCCCCGGAACAGTAATAAATGCGACAAAAAGGCCACCGCAGCGCCGCGCCGCGGCAACGTGCTCTCAACTACGCCGTCGCTGCGCCGACCCCGTTGAAGTCACGGCCGTACGAAAAAACGGCTCGCCGCGGGAAAAACGAGACTCCGCGCAGCTTCCTGCTAGTTTGTCAACCGCCATTGTCGGCCGCGGCAATTCTTAACAAGCGGCCGGACACAACAGACACAATGCTCGGCGATGGAAGCGCACTCGTGGACACCGTCAGCTCGAACAAACCGGCCGCTGAATCGACCAAACTGTTCGCTCCGATTTCTTAGTTATCTTTGTGAATCGTTCAAGTTTTATCAGCGATCAACGTATTTACAGAGCAACGTTTTGACAGCGACAACGCTGAGGTTAGCTCGGTCTTTCGCGCGGGAAACGTTAATAAGGTTGGTTTCTATTTTCTTCAACAACGATGCGCCGAGTGAAAAAATCTGAAAAAATTCAGGAACGTCAATCATAACTGTGCACAGATACCGTAAAAATATCAGTTCTGTAACTGTAGAATTTCCACGCGGAATTCGCATTTTTTATCTCTTTTATTTATTTCTTTGTTTATTTATTTAGCTAGTTGTTTGTTTGTTTATTTGTTTGCTTATTTATTTGGTTATTTGTTTATTTATTTGGTTATTTATTTGTTTATTTATTTAGCTAGTTGTTTGTTTATTTATTTGTGATTATAATCAAGAGGTCCGAACAAGTGTCGCTCGGAGCCACAGACAAGAAGTCACCCCGTACAGAATATGCAGAAAAGCGCAGGCCGATGCATAGTGCAGAAGGTAACAGCGGACGACACCGGTGACATGGCAGCTCAGTTGGCCACGTCGATACTCGTTAACTGTAACACTACGCGTCCCGGCCTCTTACGCCCGGCTTCCTGTGAGCGCGCACGAGCGCGCGCGGATAGAGAGACAGACGTGCTCGGTTTATCCGTGGATATCCGCGATATGAACGCGGGCGCGCGCGCGCACGCACACACGGAGAGCCGCGACCATATCGAGAGCGGCCGCGCAAGAGAGGCGCTCGGCTATTATTCGCGTGCGCGCACGTGCTGCACCGGCTCGGCTCGGCTCGGCTCGGCGGCGCAGCAATCCCAGTTGCGTGTGCAGCAGCGGGACACAGGCGTCGCCGCGCGGACGCGGACGTGCTTTACATTCGTGAGACCCGTCATCCTCCTTGTCCTTGGCACGACGCCTTCTTCTCGGCCGGCAGATCGGATCGCTAGAATTTAAATCAGCCCGATACTTTAGATCTGGATCATCTCCGGCCAGCTCTCGGAACTGTCCGCAACTGGACGACTCTGTTCGCCGACCAGGCTGCGGGCTCTGTTCGATAAAGAAGATCTGTCATTTTTTTCTTTATCCGTGGCGCTTTGTTCATGGTGATGACGGGTTTCGATGTTGCCGAAGTGGCGGCAGGACTGACATAACCCTGACCGTAAGGATAGCGACTGCTACTGGTGCTGCCACCTGTTTGTTAATGCTAGGTTCACGGGACTCGTCAGAATGACAGGTCACTCATTTTTTCATTTTCGATTACTTGTGGGAAATATTACAATAAATGATATTACGACATCCGTCTTATGTAATATCCAATGTCTATATTCATATTGATATTTTATAATATTATATATAATGTTCATATTATGTAATATCCAATGTCCATGTTTATATTGATATTATATAATAAAATATATAATGACGATATTCATATTAATATTATATAATAAAATATATAATGTCCATATTCATATTGTAATGTAATGTTCATATTATATAATAAAATACATAATGTCCATATTCATATTAATATTATATAACAAAATATATAATATCCATATTCATATTAATATTATATAATATAATATATAATATCCAATATCCATATTTATATTGATATTATATAATATCCATATTCATATTAATATTATATAATATAATATATAATATCCAATATCCATATTTATATTGATATTATATAATATCCATATTCATATTAATATTATATAATATAATATATAATATCCAATATCCATATTTATATTGATATTATATAATATCCATATTCATATTAATATTATATAATATAATATATAATATCCAATATCCATATTTATATTGATATTATATAATATCCATATTCATATTAATATTATATAATATAATATATAATATCCAATATCCATATTTATATTGATATTATATAATATCCATATTCATATTAATATTATATAATATAATATATAATATCCAATATCCATATTTATATTGATATTATATAATATCCATATTCATATTAATATTATATAATATAATATATAATATCCAATATCCATATTTATATTGATATTATATAATATCCATATTCATATTAATATTATATAATATAATATATAATATCCAATATCCATATTTATATTGATATTATATAATATCCATATTCATATTAATATTATATAATATAATATATAATATCCAATATCCATATTTATATTGATATTATATAATATCCATATTCATATTAATATTATATAATATAATATATAATATCCAATATCCATATTTATATTGATATTATATAATATCCATATTCATATTAATATTATATAATATAATATATAATATCCAATGTCCATATTCATATTGATATTATATAATATAATATACAATAATGTCCAATGTCCACATTCATATTGATATTATATAATAAAATATATAATGTCCATATTATATATAATATCCAATGTCCACATTCATATTGATATTATATAATAAAATATATAATATCCATATTATATAATATCCAATGT